CGAAGATCACTGCTATTGCAGAGTGGCCCGTCCCCACATCTGCCAAGCAGCTTCGCAGCTTTCTAGGCCTCACCAGCTACTATAGTAATTTTATCTAGGGATACGCTAGGTATTCCTACGTCCTTACCTCCACCCTCCTCCGGATGAACCCGCCGTGGTTTTGGACATCCCTCTGCGAGGACGCCTTTCGCGCCCTCAAGAAGGCGGTGACTTGYGCGCTGGTTCTTCGCCTTCCCGATTTTGATCGTCCCTTTATCGTCACCGCCGATGCATCAGATTTTGCAGTAGGAGCTGTCCTTTCTCAGATGTTTCCCTCTCCTCCAGATTCACCTTACCCCCATGTTCCTCCTTTTCCCCCCCTCCTGCTGACAATGCTTTTCGACTGACGCCTATCCTACCACCACTTCCCTCCACTGACAGTCCTCCCATTACTTACTCCCCGACCATCGCGGAGGATGGGACGGTCGAGGCTCGTGCTGGGGATTGCCCGATCGCTTTCTACTCCCGTCAGCTACTACCTGCCGAAATAAACTACACTGTCAGTGAACGTGAGGTTCTCGCAGTAGTTTATGCTACCCGGCATTGGCGTCATTATCTGCACGGGGCGTCCTTCACGATGCGCACAGACAACTTAGTTGTCCAGGCTTTCCTCACGAAGCCTAAGCTTTCCCCTCGACAGGCACGCTGGTGGCGTGACTTATCCGAGTTCAGTTTCACCACTCAGCCCATCAAGGGTGAAACAAACCGCGTCGCCGATGCCTTGTCCTGCCGTCCTGATCACAATCAGGAAACCCATCTATCTTGCTGCCATCTCCATCACCAGTGTTGATCAGTCTGTGATCGACGCGTATCGCACTCAGTACCGCCACTGCCCCGATTATCGCGTCATCCACGCGACACTGCGGAGTGGCAAGACCGTTCCTTCCTACTCCCTCGGGGAGAACGGCCTCGTGTACTGGCATGGCAGATCTGGTCAGCTAGAACCACGTATCTGCGTTCCCTCCACCGGACAGCTCCGCGTCCAGGCTGTAGCAGAGTTCCATGACCAGGCAGCTGCCGGTCATAGGGGTTTCCACAAGACGTTGGCTCGTGTTTGCCGCCTATACGACTGGCCGAAGTCCAAGGACTGTGTCAAAGCCTACATCCAGGAGTGTCCTACCTGCCAGGAGGTGAACAGTGCGAACCACCTTCCGTATGGGTTACTTCAGCCCCTACCCATACCTGAAGGTCGTTGGCAGTCTATCTCGATGGATTTCATTGGTCCCCTCCGCCCACCCACTCAGCGCGGTCATGATGCTATCTTGGTCGTCGTCGATCGCTTCACGAAGCGTGCACGTTTTGTTTCGTGCCGCTATCGCATTAGCGCTCATGAGGTCGCCGACATCGTCTTCGACCGAGTCGTGAGGGATCACGGCTTACCTCAGAGCATCATCTCCAACCGTGACCCGCGCTTTACCAACACATTCTGGCGACGCCTACACGAGCTGTACGGATCCCAGCTCCGCTTCTCATCGTCTCACCACCCTCAGATGGATGGTCAGACTGAGGTCACCAACAAAACTCTCGATAATATCCTCCGAAAATTTGTTAGGGATGACAAGCAGTGGGACTTACACTTAGCCCACGCGGAGATTGCGTACAACCACGTTGTTTCGCCAGCCACGGGGATGTCGTCATTCTATTGCGACCTCGGCTACCACCCTCACGTACCTGCGGATTTCCTACGACCATCGCGGTTGCGCCCAGACACTCGTTGCCCTGCGCTTGATGACTGGATCGCCCACATGGCGGCGATTATGAAGCGCGCACACGAGAGTTTAGCCAACTCCCAGACTCGCATGGCCGCACGAGCGAACCGATCACGAATGGATCATCCATTCAAAGTCGGTGACGATGTGCTCGTCGACGCACGCCACTTACAGCTCGAAGCAGATATGCTTCGCAAGTTCAGGCGTCGTTTCTTCGGTCCATGCCGCATTCTTCAGGCCGTCGGCTCTGATACTGCCGCTAGTCCGGTCAGCTTCCGTGTGAAGCTACCTGATTACCTTCGACAGGCTCGCGTACACGATGTTTACCACGTCTCCTTGCTGCGTCCTTATCGCAGACCGTCCGAGCGCTTCGCCGGACGCCCTCATGAGCTCCCTCCACCTATCATGGTGGACGGTCACGAGGAGTTCGTTGTTTCCGACATCGTATCACGCCGAGTTACCGACGATACCCCTCCACGCATCGAGTACCTTGTGCGTTGGAAGGGCTACCCTGATGAGGAGGCTACTTGGGAGCCCCTCGAGCACTTGCAGCACGCCAGGATGTTGGTGCGTGCATATGATCGTGCTCGWCRTGCTGGGACATCTGCTTCTACTCAGCCGACTGACCCTCTTCCTCCTCCTCCGGCTGAGGARATCGCTGMGGATGAGCCCGCTCYCTCTGAGGCCGTTCCTCAGCCGCAAATGGTCGCCTCCGAGCGTCCACAGCGCACTCATCGTCGCCCTTCACGTTACGATGACTGACACTCTTATCCTCCATCTTTCCCCACTGACTCACACCATCAGGTACTCCATCATCAGCTCTTCTTCAGGATGTCAGCGTTTTGCGGCTCTGCTTCGACATCGACTCGACTGTTACTTCATCGACGTCATCGACCGATTCGACGACTTCAGCTACCTTATCGGCTTCAGCTACTTTGGACGTGACTACTTCACGCCACCACCCTACCTTGTACATTCCCTTGCATCTGTCGCATGATGGTTCTCACTTAGTTGGGTCTCTTTGAGTTGGGCTCTCCCTTGGTATCGCATAGGCATTGGGACCGTAGCGTTATCTTGGCTTCCCTGCTCCCAGATCTAGCTCCTTCCTCCCCCAGTCGGTGAGTTGTGTGCATGTTTCCCTCACCCACTGCCCTCATCACCCTAGTGCCGGCCCTTGCATGCCTTCAGTTAGGCATATCTCCACCCTATTCCAAGCTCCCCCTTTTCATGGTTGCCCCTGCATGGTGTCACCCTTGTCGAGCATTACCCGCCTTGATGGTCTATCTGTTAGGGTCATTGGTTTTGTTTCGCTACCACTCTCCCACCTTGAGVYTGATGACCTATCCCACYTTCATGTGTGACTGCCCTTAGGAGTTTCGATTCTTAGGCTGCATTCACCACCTCAGAGACCATCCCACTTTTAGTGGTTCAGCGACATGACATTATCTTGTGACATATTGCTCTTCTCCTTTCAGCACTGAGGCCACTGCTTCCAGGACTTTAGGAGTGTATCATACTACATTTCATTTTCTGCTGTTAGCTAGGATATGTATACCAGACATTTGCTTTTCTTTTGACATTATATAGCTTAGGATGCATCGCATGGACTCTGCATGGAGCTTGCTCCGCATCCTAGATTTCTCAGCTTTCTTTATTGCAGAGTTCTGCTGCTTTTGCGGATAGCGTGTTTATGGCTCTTGCGATCCATTACAGGTCTGAGGATCATGCAGCGGGCCTTCATCTGCCCTGGCCCACAGCCAGGGCCTATTTGGCTATTTGCCAGTCCGGCCTGTGGGACCAGGCCGTGGCCTGACCCCACAGGCCGTGCGGTTATTCAGTCCAGTCCAGTCCTGCCCGGTACCACTGTCGGTACCAGGCCAGTCCAGTCCAGTCCAGTCAGTCCGCTGGGGGTATACCCCAACTGCAGTCTGTTTTGTGGCATTCTTCATTTGCACAGATTGGAGTACGTGCGTGTTGAGTCTGCGTTGGAGCTGCGTCGTCCCTTCCAGCTCCATCTCCATCTCCCCCATCCTCATCCCTTCGTCTTGATCCTGATGGACCGCCATCCCGGCGGGTCCGTCACAATGCCTGTATGACAGTGGGCACAACAAGACCCAATACAACGCCTATACTGCCTCAAGCAATGGCACGCACCAACAGAATCGGACCAACATTGCCACATTCCAGGTTACTTCCCGCTGCTTCTCTCTCTCTCTCTATCTATCTATCTATCTGCCGAAAAGTCAAATGCACTGCCTGCAGTCAACCCTGGGCACGACACGACAAGCCGTAACTCCCCAGCCTGGTTGGTGAGATCAGAGTGCCCGACTGCCCGCTATGATACCAAAACGCAAAGAAGCACCATGTGAAAACAGAAAAAAAAGCGCAAAGAAGCACCATGTGAAAACAAACCAAAAAAAAGTGCAAAGAAGCACCATGGGAAAGAAAAAAAAAACACTAAGCAGCAAGAACTCGTTGCGGATTGAAAGCAGAACTGACAAGGCCAAGAGCTCTACACCAAAGTATGGAGGCACTATTGTAACGTCCGAAGTATTTTGTTAAGCAAAGCCCTCTTCTCGGCTCCAACAATAGGTTCAACAGCAATGTATGTAGCAGCCCTACCGTAGGCTGTGATGGACACCAGAGATCTACAGCGTACAGTGCGCACCTATTGCATATCTGTGACCTTTTACATAGCCATCCAGAAAACAAGTGACATTACTGCAGACATACAGTGCGCACCTATTGCATATCTGTGACCTTTTACATAGCCATCCAGAAAACAAGTGACATTACTGCAGACACAGAGCAAATCCCTTGCCGGATGGACACCATCCGGCAGGGGAAAACTCGACCAAAGCTGAGAAACTATTGCCCAATCAATGCCCACAGCGCAGCTGACTATCAGACCAGCAGCACATTGGACAGTAAACTGGATAAAAGCACCCGGATGGTGTAATCCGATGGTGACGGAGAACAAGATGGTGTAATTCATCAGAGCAGCAAGAGCAAGAGGAAGAGGAGGAGGAGGAGGAGGAGGAGGAGGAGGAGGAGGAGGACAAGGAGAAGAAGGGACAAGAGGAGCAGGACAAGGAGAAGAAGGGACAAGTGGAGAAGGACAAGGAGAAGAAGGGACAAGAGGAGGGGGACAAGGAGAAGGACAGGACAAGAGGAGGAGGACAAGGAGAAGGACAGGACAAGAGGAGGAGGACAAGGAGAAGAACGGACAAGAGGAGGAGGACAAGGAGAAGAAGGGACAAGAGGGGGAGAACAAGGAGAAGGAATGAACAAGAGGAGGAGGACAAGGAGAAGGAATGGACAAGAGGAGGAGGACAAGGAGAAGAAGGGACAAGAGGAGGAGGACAAGGAGAAGAAGGGACAGTCTGGAGAAGAGTATAGGAGAAGCAGACACGAAGACGACGCAAGGAAGAGAGTGAAGAACATTATAAGAGTGCAACCAGATGATTAATTGAAAGGAACAACAAAAAAAGAAACACACCAAGAATGTGGGAGTGTGGGTCAGAGAACAACAACAAGGATACAAACAACTTGAAACAAGTAAGTGATTGGCGGCGGCGTTGGCGTCTATATATTCTCAATGTCTGTCGAGATTTTTCATTACAAAAATTGATCATCGCGCAGTTTGGGGTAAAAAAAGAGCGACCGGTCGTACTCCTTGATGTACTCAGGTGTCGGCAGGACGTTCTGCGGCATGGGGACGAGAGGAACCATGCTGTCTTTTTTGTCAACGACTCCATCAAATCAGCCCATAATCATGAGCGGCATGTGCGACAGTGTGCGACATGGAAGGATGTTTGTCTCTAATATGTCTTTCTTCACCCGCGACGTCCGAAACTAGAAAGGATGTTTGTCTCTCTGTCTTTCATGTGCGACAGTGTGCGACACGTAAGGATGTTTGGCACGGTGGTCTTGAATTTCGTTCGCTTGGATTTCGACGTCAATCGCCTGGCCTGTCTTCTCGCGCCGCTCAACTGCTGATGAGGCATCAATCACGATGCCCGTGCTAGTGTAGTAGTCGCATTGCTGCAGATTTCGGTTGCCCTTGATCGCACCCATCAGAGCAAGAGACAATGGCAGCCGTTGATGCAGCAATACCCGTGGCGATGGATGGTGGAGATGTTGGCACGGCACCCCTGCATAGCATTAAAAAAAAATAGCCATGGCCGCCGCATTCATCGACCCCGCGGACAGTTCACAAACAGCCGGATATATGCTCTACTGTCTTGCCCGGAATAGGACGGACGGTCATTATAAACTGCATTTAGACTGATATGTGGGCCAAATTCAGCGGTACTGACCGTACGTTTTATTCGGGCGATGGCGGTACGATCTTGAGCATAGAAGAGAGGGAGTTGGCTGATGACCGTGACAACAACAAAATCGCCCATTCGATGGCCCAAGATTACAATCGATACAAAAAAATAAATAAATAAAGAATGACGATCGACACACCTGGGAGGAGCAGGCTCATCGAGTCGGACTCTGCTATGCTTGCTTTGTTGTGTGTGTGTTTGTGTGTGTGTTGGTGTTTGTGTGTGTGTGTGTGTGTGTGTGTGTGTGTGTGTGTGAGAGAGAGAGAGAGAGAGAGAGAGAGAGAGAGAGAGAGAGGAGGGCGCCGCCTGTATGACATAATAGATTGCATGGAAATTGACGATGGATGATAAGGACTACATACAGGTGACGGCGTTGGCGTTGGCCACAGCTGCTACATGCGCAACGTCATTACTGTGCGCCTGAAGACCGAGCCTGGGGACCCACCCCCGGAAGAAGTGATCGCCTGAAGTCCTTGTCGATGCATGCAGTATGCCGCACAGAGACGATGCCTCCTCCTCCTCCCGTTTGGGAGACCCCGAAGCCAAGCGCAATTTGGAATGCGAGGAGGGGGGAAGACGTCGTCTCACGCAGCTGCCAGTCCGTCCTCCCAATGACAAGCAAAACGGCAAAGATCGTCCTCGGCACTTGCAACGCGGGCAAGAAAACGACGTCGAAGACGAAGACGAGGAGGACGAAGAGGACACCGTCGGAATACGAAGTGCAGAAGAAGAAAAAGAAATAAGAAGAAAAAAAAAAAAAGAAGAAGAAGAAGAAGAAGTAGAAGAACAAGAACAAGAACAAGAACAAGAACAAGAAAGAACTGCAAACTGAAAATAGTGCGGCCAATGATTCATCCATGCACAAGAACAATAGATTCTTCATAGCTCTCGCACAGACATAGCAGACATAGCCATTGCTCTCAAAACGCGCAAGAAGAAGAAGAATAGTGGAAACAGTGGCCAACTGCCTTTCGCACACGGTTCGAATGTTCATCAATACATAACAGCGCATACTCATCTCAGCACACGCGCAAATTCCCCGACGCGTTTCGATCGGTTGCGCTCCGATCATCCTCAGGGGGCTTTCCACACACCCTCTCGCCTTGCGGCCCACCGATCACACCTTCCTTCTGAGAACTGAGGGCCGATACGGCCTTGCCCTCCTATATACTGAACGCCAAGTAGGACGCTTCGTCAGCACGGCACTCCCGCCCCTAACGGGCACTTCCACGAGCTACTGCGGCTACGGCTGGACTGCCACATATTTAGAACTCCAGTCCCCCACTGGCTGTTTGGTTAGACATATTTAGACATACACACGTTTCCTTTTCCTTCCTCTTCAAACAGTGATCAACTTCATTTCCAATCATCAGAACAATCTGCGATTCTGCGACCTTTACCTGGCCGGGGTCCTCTCACAGTCCATACCCGGAAGAAACAATCTGCCATTCTGCGATTCTGCCATTCTGCGATTCTGCGATTCTGCGAGCGTTACCCAGTTTCGCCGCTTACAGGCGCAGCGCCCTGCAAGCCTGCAAGCCTGCAAGCAAGGCTGCAAAGGGACCAACACCCTGGAATGAGAAATGCAAAACCAGCTGACGTAATCTCGTTCGTTGTAGAGTCCGAGGACTGCTGAAGACTGAAAAAAACAAAACTTCACTGATTACCCCTGCTCTGCCGAAACCGCCTCGAATACGGGAGAGCGGAACCTACTAGTAGTAGTGTTCCATGTAGCAAAATGACGCTCACTCCGGACCCCTCTCTTGAGTCTCTTTCCCTCATTCCGCTGCCCTCCTACTGCGGAGATATAACCGAGCGCCCAGGTATCAGACATACAAGTTCTCAACCTTAGTTGGGGGAGAAAGGAGGGGGGAGAGGGGGGGGGACGGGGCTTAGCTGGGAGGAGTCTCTTGGCCTTGTTCGACTGCCACCTGGAAAGAATGAGACAACGAGACATTGTTACGGTTGTGTTTTGTGGGGGGAAAAAAAAAAAGAGACAACGAGACACACTAGAACACAGCGGGAGAGGGCGGGGCGGGTGGAGAAAGCACAAAGCGACAAATGCATCCACAACACGATCCACGAGAGCTGAGAGACTGTCACAGTGGCTCCTTGAAAAGTTTAAGTGAGAAATTCCCAGCAGCAGCAGCAGGAGGAGGAGGAGGAAGAAGACGAGGACGAAAACGAGGAGCTCACACAAAAGCCAATGAATGGATGAAGGGGCCGCATCAGAACGAGGAGGACGATAGTACTGTAATGGGGGAGACAGGGTATCCAAAGGAGATTATGCAAAACATTTCCAAGAAAGAAGAGGAGGAGGAGGAGGAGGAGGAGGAGGAGGAGGANGTGTGTGTGTGTGTGTGTGTGTGTGTGTGTGTGTGTGTGTGTGTGTGTGCTGTCTCTTATACACATCTAGATGTGTATAAGAGACAGCTTTTACAGTGGCTCCTTGAAAAGTTTAAGTGAGAAATTCCCAGCAGCAGCAGCAGGAGGAGGAGGAGGAGGAGGAGGAGGAGGAGGAGTGACTACAAATGCAAAACAAGCTTGGGGATTGCTATGGATGGATAATAAGGATCTGGAAACGTTCCAAGCAAGAAGAAGAGGAGGAGGAGGAGGAGGAGGAGGAGGAGGAGGAGGAGAGGAGGAGGAGTGACTACAAATGCAAAACAAGCTTGGGGATTGCTATGGAAGGAGCTTGGGGATTGCTATGGATGGATAATAAGGATCTGGAAACGTGTCAGAGGGGACACGATGAGGGCTAACAAACAAACAAACAAACAGACAAACAAACAAACAAACAAACAAACAAACAAACAAACAAACAAACAAACAAAACAAACGACAACCAAACAAACAAACGAACAAACAAGCAAAAAAACACAGAAAACAAACAAAAACAAAGAAGGGTGGGAAAAAAAGAGCGATAGTCTCAGAGTGACATAGGCATTGATGATCGATCTATTCCTGTATTTAAAAACTTTTTCGCCGCCCAATTTTTGGGCTACATGCAATCATCCGACCGGTCCTAATTAATGTCCACGAGGTCGAAATTTCGGTGGCTCACTATGTAATCGTTGCGGTCAAAAAATAATAATAATAATAATAATAATAATAATAATAATAATAATAACAATAACAAAAAAATCGTTGCGTTCCTTCTTTTACTCTTTCCCCCCCGAACCGACGAACCGGGGGGCTACCCTGGTAGTCGCCCGACTGGGCTCCACTACCGTCTTCCCCCGAACATAACGCACCCTTAAAATGAATGTATACAAGTTATATTTCCGGCCATACAGCCAAAATGAGGGTGCGTTGTGTTCGGTGGAAGACTGTAGCCTCCCCCCTCCCTCATTTTGCTGACTGCAGCGGAGCTGCCTCTTCTTCGTCCTCACCCCACATCTTCCCCACCCTCTTCTCTCAGATTCATCCTCCACTCTCTTCCATCTGCAGTAGCAGCATCAGTCATCCCCCACTCTCTTCCAACTGCACTACCAGCAGCGTCAGTCATACGGCTGACTTCACTGCTGCTGGGTCACCCATGCTTTCGTGCTCCTATACGGCCCAGCCATCATATGCCCTGCCGGGACTTTCTCGAAAGATAGCACACCAAGACTTTGTGTGTGTGTGTGTGTGTTGTCGTATTCGCTATACACTCAAAAAACGCATGACTGTGCTGTGCCAGACTGTTTTGTCGGACTTTCACCGACTCATCAGGAGGTTGAACCCCGACAGTCTGGTCTGCCCAGAGGATGCATTTGACTGACTGATGGATAACGAAGGACTGACCACGTCAAACTCTGAGCTATGTAGCGATCAGGACTGACTGATGCTGTTGAGAGAGAAAAGTGGTGGACGACTCGACTTTACTCACATCAACCCTGCAAAATCCGAGCAGACTGTCGGGGGTTCGAAGCCCTGCCAAGGATGGCAGCAAGTCTGAGACACACTGATCTGACACAGTCGTAAATTTAAACCCACTCTGCACAATACCTTTCTCGGCCTTTTGGCTAAGATCAAGTGTAGTATCTGTTCTGATCAGTTAAATATCTGATCTGTGGTCCATCGGGCCACATAAAAAAAAATAAAAATAAACCCACTCTGCACACCCACTTAGCCATCCATGGCTTCCCATACCGAACGACACGACCGCTAGTACGGTCCGGATCCTAGCCGCATCGACGCAACACACATGCCTCCTTCATTCACCCAACCGTGGTTAGTTGGCAGAGTCGGGGGTTGTCCTCTCCTGAGTCTCCTCTATCTAGCTCGTAGATTTCGTTGTCATATCGTCGTGTCGTTTTGCAACCCCGGCAGAGAGATTTTGGTAGTATGTCCGCCCGCCTTCTTCCGCGTTTCACTCGACAGGCGCTTTAACCCGGGCACTACATACATTCCTCCTTTCATTCACCCAACCTTGGCTTGGTTGTTGGCAAAGTCCAGGGTTGTCCTCTCCTCTATCTAGCTCGCAGATTTTGTGCCATGTCGTCGTGTCGTTTTGCAACCCCGGCAGAGGGATCTTGGTAGTATGCCCGCCAGCCCGCCCGCCCACCCGCCCGCCCGCCCGCCCGCCTTCTTCCGCGTTGCACTCGACCGGCGCTTGCATCGAAGGTCACTTTTCTGTTCATGTACATACGTAACACAAAACATGCTCTGTGGTGTCCACGCTCTAGGCGGAGTCAGCAAAGCTCTGCTTGCACTCTGCCTGCTGGCTACCGTTGGGGAATCGCCTACCGCCTACCGCCTACCGCCTACCGCCTACCGGCGCGCCGCATCAATGGGTTTGACAGCTAAAGAAAAGAAATGGAAAAAAAGAAAAGGAAAGGAGAATAGAGAAACGACAGTCAACCTTGCGTTCAAAATGCAGCAGACTGGGCGACACTGGGCGACTCTGGGCGACACAGGTTGCGAAGCTACCCTTCTTCCCACCAAATACAATGTATATACGGTGATTATAGCTGTATTTAGACTGAAAAGTAATACAGCTATAATGGCTGTACGTTGTATTCGGGGGAAGAAGCTAGCGAGTGGGAGAGCAAGAAGAGCAGGAGCTGCATGTGGTGGTATCGGTCTTGTTGCTGCGAAGCCTCAGCCAACCCGTGCGCGTTGCATGACTGAGCTTAGGATCGGAGTTACGTGTAACTTAGTCTAATCTGGCCATACAATCATCAATCAATCAATCAATCAATCAATCAATCAATCAAACCATGCGCGCTGCAGGGCAGGACAATCTTGACGCGTCAAGAGCGCGCTGCATGATTGAGCATAGGATCGTTGTTACGTGTAACTCAGAGTTAGTCTAATAGGATCAATCAATCAAACCATTCGCGCTGCAGTTCAGGAAAATCTTGACGCGTCAAGAACGCGCTGCATGATTGAGCGTAGGATCGGAGTTACGTGTAACTCAGAGTTAGTCTGATATGATCAACCAATCAATCAATCAATCAATCAATCAATCGATCAATCGATCGATCAATCAATCGATCAATCAATCAAACCATTCGCGCTGCAGTTCAGGACAATCTTGACGCGTCAAGAACGCGCTGCATGATTGAGCGTAGGATCGGAGTTACGTGTAACTCAGAGTTAGTCTAATATGATCAATCAATCAATCAATCAATCAATCAATCAATCAATCAATCAATCAATCGATCGATCAATCGATCGATCAATCAATCGATCAATCAATCAAACCATTCGCGCTGCAGTTCAGGACAATCTTGACGCGTCAAGAACGCGCTGCATGATTGGGCGTAGGATCGGAGTTACGTGTAACTCAGAGTTAGTCTAATAGGATCAATCAATCAATCAATCAATCAATCAATCAATCAATCAATCAATCAATCAATCGATCGACCGAGATCAATCAATCAATCAATCAATCGATCGATCGATCAATCAATCGATCGACCGAGATCAATCAATCAATCACACCGTGCGCGTTACAGTTCGGGGCAATCTTGACGCGTCAAGAAGGGAATGTGCGTGATGTTGGGCTGACAATCACGAAAAGAGCAGAAATATTTTTTTCTCTTTCTGATACAAAGGGAACTAACTGTTAACAGATCAAGTACGGGTTAGTCACCCGCTCTTCCTCCTCCCTACAATAACGACATAAGACAGTTCGGCACTGCCCTTACCTCTTCGATTCTGCCCGTCTCTTTTTTTTTCTCCTCTCTCTATTCTATTTTTGGTGCAAGCTCGACAGAAGATACCCATCGCAGACTGTCTTCCCGAGTCATTTGCAATGACACATTTTGTGCATGTCCGCTTTACAGCAGTAGTACTGTAATACATCCCACAGCTCACAGTCCCCATCTCACGTCTCCGCAGAGCTCTTTCTCTGCCCCTGCCAAAATGCCAACGGCCCAACGGAGGCCTATCACCCACCACCACCACACTGTCAGGGTCGTAGACACTGACTACCCCCCCTCTGTCCCCCCGCACTCGCACCGCCTCACTTGGAAGTATATTGCAAGAACGGACGGACATGTTGACTTGAAATGGGAGATCGGAGACAGATTCGAGATGATAAAACCCTTCTCCTTCCTTCGCTTGGACGGTACTCCAGCATCCTCACCGCTCACTCGCTACCTTGAAAAAAGCACGACTGCAGAAAAAGGCTTACTAGTAATACGAGACAATGTGAGATCGTAATCATCGAAGCAAAGCAACATTCCATGCAACGTGTGATGAAACACACACTAAGCACTAAGCAGCACACAGATCGACCAGAGACAAGACACAGGAGGACAAGAACAAGTTAACACGAGAGAGAAGAGATAACCCCCGAGCGCGATCACGGCTCATAAAAAAATTCCGTCTCTGTCATCATAAAGAGTTGGCCTCTCCCTCTTCACATTCGCTGGCCTCCATCCTGTCCGCCGATCTCCCCCTTTTCACCGCTCTCTCCCCCTCTTCACATCCGCTACTGTAGCCCTCCACATCCTGTCCGCCCGCCTTCGTTACTCTTCGTTACTCTTTGTTACTCCCGTCATCGAGAGTTCGCCCTGCATTTTGAAAGCCACGGCATCTCCTCGGAGGTGCTCCCGCAGCAGCAACCGATCGTACCACCTTCAACAATTCATTAATATACTATATTCTCTCCATCTTCTTCATCGTCCATCGCCATGTTCTTCATCCTCCATCTCCATCTTCCTCATCCTCCATCGCCATCTTCTTCATCTTCCATCGCCATCTTCGTCATCCTCCATGGCCATCTTCGTCATCCTCCATCGCCATCTTCTTCATCCTCCATCGTCATCTTCTTCATCGTCCATCTTCCCTGTCAATGAGACTTTCATCTTCTTCGTCCTCCATCGCCATCTTCTTCATCCTCCATCGCCATCTTCTTCATCGTCCATCTTCCCTGTCAATGAGACTTTCTGACAGATCTCATCGTTCGCGTGAGGTTCGACGCGTGGCTGGCCAGTCCCGGCGTCACCATACCCGCAGCAGCAGCAAAGCTGGCCTTCGGCGGCAGCTGCTGCACCACTTCCAATTGCTCTGGTCCTTCACTGCAGCAGCCATGGTGGTCTTCACCTTCACTGCGATGTGGACCGTCCCGTACGATACCATCGCCAGTTCCTCTGATTCCGTTGGGTCACCTACCTCGCGAAGGGTAGGTGACGGTCACCTCCACCATGGCCTCTCAAAAAAAAAAGTTTCCGCCTTGATCTCCATGTTCAGCCATGGTGGTCTTCACCTTCACCATGGCCTGTCAAGCTTCCGCCTCGATCTCCATGTTCACGGTCACCGTTCCGACAAAGCCACCACGCGCATCGATCGTTGGACAGGGGGAGTTGGCGGCGCCGCGGCGGGCGGGCGGGCGGGCGGGCGGAGCGGTCCGACGTGCCCTCCCCCGCGACATCTTCTTGCGAACTCGTTCAGGCCAAGATGAAGATGCTAAATCTTGCGCTTTCTTCCCCTCGGGAGTAGTGTCTACAGACGACCACCCCCCCCCCCACACACACACACCCAAAATGCTCTCTGCATCCCTGCGTACGTCAGTCTCTCCTTAGACGGGCTTCTCCCTTCCTTCTCTTCATGATTTTCGATCTCTGAGAGAGGGATTGATCAGAAATTGCACACACTTCTTGACTTGCTTATCGATATGATGTCCCTCTAATACCATCCTACTTCCCTCCTCTCCTCCACTCCCTCTCCATCATTTCCTCTTACCTTATCTTGATCCACACACCTTGGAAGAGCCATCAATCAATCAATCAATCAACCAATCAATCAAGCCAGAGTCCGGCAGACAACTGCCAACATCGGAAATCCGAGTCGGGCAGACGGCTCATGAGCTCGGAGGGCAGAGGAGCAAAACGGTGATTGCGAAGGAGGACACGCGCGCGCAAATCCGAGAGGATCTGTATCTTCTTGAGCATAGACGTGCACCCCGCCCATGCGATCGTGGTGTAGCGCCAAAACGAACCACACTTGCTGGTGGGTCATGCGTTTCGAACACCCCCCGTGACATCAACATTCCTCCTCCTTCGCCTCACCCCCCGCCCATGCAGACGACATCCCCTGCCACACCACGCCGGATGAAAGAGAATCAATCAATCAATCAATCACCTGCCGTCTCTTGTAAGTAAGTTTCCTGCAGGAGGTGTGAGTAAGTTTCCTGCAGGAGGTGTGAGTAAGTTTCCTGCAGGAGGTGGAAAGATTGCAGGCAACACACAGTAAAAGGTTCTTCCATTCGACGGCTATGCCTGCTATCAGCTTTTTCTGTTGTCCAATCCATGGTCAATCAATCCAATCAATCAATCAACCAATCAATCAATCAATCAATCAATCAATCAATCAATCAATCAATCAACCAACCAATCAATCAATCAATCAATCAGTCAATCAATCAATCGAAATTGAGACCTTACAACTTTAATACATTAGGTGATTTCACAACTGGGTCACGTCTTGGTTCCAGCATGATGGAGGGAGGGAGAGAGGGAGAATCTGATGAAGTTCGGGGCATCCCCGTTCATCCATCCGTCCATCGTGGGCAACTGCCTTCTCCAGTTAGCGACGGATGCAATGAAGGAATGAATGAATGGGCGGGCGGGTGTCACGCCGGCTACCGGCTATTAGGGGGCAGTCTGTTGTGTCTTGCACCCGTTTAAGTTATTACTTTAAGTTGGTTGATCGGAATCCTTTGGGGGAGCCAGAATGTAGACCTTCGGCCGAGAGAACCTTTTGATTGCTCGTTCTATCTCCTCTATTTTGAAGTCCAGATCTTTCTTTGCAGCAATTTGGCTGGGAGTCTCCAGAACCAGTGGGAGCTTGCGCCACTCTTCGTCTAACCGAATTTTGCTCTCCTCAAGCACCTGCAGAGCACGAACCCGCTCCGCTTCTGGCATCCGAACTGTGCCCGGAGGACATTTCGCAGCTTCAGCCTCTTGTTGCCTCCGCTCTGCATCCCTTGCAAGCTCCTCTTTGCGCTTCAGCAAGTAAAGGGGAACCCGGCCATAGTTCTCTTTGTGTATGTACTGCATGGGTTTGGGTTTACTATCTCTGCGCGCGCGTGCTTTATCTCTCGAGCTCAGATTGGCTGCAGAAGATGATGCCAGTTTCTTCGACGACGATGATGGTGATGACGATGACGATGATGAGACCTGCGACCTGCTCCGTGGGAACCCCGTGGACTCCTTCTCGTTGTCATTGCCATTGCCATTGGCAGGAGGTTCAAGGCTCTGAGGACGCTCCTTGGGCGAGCTATTCTCAGTCCCAGTGCCAGTCCCAGTCCCAGTCCCATCAGCGGAACCACGAGCTGTGGGGATTTTCAAGGCCTTCTTCTCGGCCAAAGGGTGCCGCTGCTCCTTAAGCAGCAGCCCATTCTTCATACGCTGATTATGTGCGCTTTGGTCAGCAATCAGAGCCCTGATATCGCGTTGATGATCACGTGGAACGATCCCTCTCCTCATCATTTCTTCCCTCACCCCTCGCACCGGATTCAGTAAGCTGGCCACCTGCGAGCTGTCTACATGCGCTGGGATTTTGGGCCGTTTGTTTGCCTTTTTGGTCATCATCTGAGAACCCCCTAGATCCTGCCCCTGCTTCCATGGTACAGAACTGGAACGTTGCCTATGCATCCGAGCGGCCTGAGAGGCCTGATTGCGACTCATCAATCAGAATTATGCTGAACCGTAAACCGTCCACACAATTCTCGCACTATGGCGACCAGATCCAACTGACATCTTGCAGCTATGCCGACTATGGCGCCCCTGCAGCCACCGGTAGCTGTCCAGTTGGCAAGCAGCTCCCCCCACTATGCTAACTACGGCGACCAGAGACTAAGCACGCAACGACGCCCAAAGCGGTACGTCAACAAATTGACCACTCGTACCCACGACGATGACGACTGGGAGGCTGGCTGGCTAGCTCGTCACTTCCGGGATGCAACCAGGCAGGTCATCTCTTTCCGCTTCTTTATCGACTCGATGTCTATACGGACGCGTAAGCTTCAGCAAGACGTGTTGTTGCTATGTGCGAGCTTGTGGCCTTTAGACGGCCGCGTGTCGGGGGCCCAGCTCCAGGCCGCTCGTACACGCTGATAGCTATCGTTATGGCTGCAGAATGTGTGAGCACATTACTTTTTGCTCCTTTCTTCCGTTCGCTGCACGTCCGTCAGTGCCGTTTTCAAGAAGCAGTTTCTCTCAATTTTCCTTTGAAAAGTCGAAAGTCGCCACACACGTGCTCAGAAGGGGAAAAAAAGAAGAAGAGGAAGAATTTGCATCTGGGGGCCACTTAAAGATGGGAATACCCGATATACCCACTCCCAGCGACAAGTTACACCCCGGAAAACTGCAGGTGGAAATTATTTGCATGCCCTGGACTGAGGTGGACTCAGGTTGGCACCGCAAAATTGCAGTTATACCCAACTACCGAATCTACAAATTATGGACATGACCAGGCAAAACTATGGGAATGCCCGGCACTGAGGTGGACTGGCCAAATGATTCATCTACCCTACTACCGGATGGCTGAAATTTCGCTCATACCCAGAAGCCGCTGGGCCACAACGGTCCGCGTGGTGGGCGTGAGCATAATTTTGTGGTTCGCCATCCAAGGCCTGCCCCTGGCTGTGGGTACACCCACAAGTTTACCGGCCCGTATCTGGGCATAGGTATAATTTCGTTGCCCGGAACTCAGGGCCGGCGGGACTGGGTATGCCTACAATTTCGCACAGGGGAAAAGCCGGGTACTATGCAACGTTCAATTGACTTACCGTGAGGGCACGGGTGCACAGCCCGTTTTGTTGATGTGGTTCGGGAAGGGTAAGGTAGTGATTATGCTGTATGTATGTTTTGTTGTGTTCTCTATACACAACTCAAAGAGAGTGTGTGTGTGGTCCCGGTTGGTGCGTTATTCACGATGTTCATGGGATGCTGGACCCAGTTTCCAGCAAGTGGCGCTCCCCATCAATAGACA